CAATTCTTCAAATGATCTTATACCCCCCGTACGCTCTGTTATTCNTTGATCTAATTGGAGAGCATGACCCTATCCACGTATCATATGTAGCGACTGCAATATCTGTGTTTATCGTGAGTTGCTCCGCTCCTCAATTCCTGCCATCTAATCTGTCTGTGATTTAGTATCTGGGAATTCCCCTCGTTGCTGGAGTTGTCACTAGATATACTGTCTGGGCGCTGAAAGGCAAAGAATTTATGAACGGAACATTCATCCCGTCCATTGCGCCCATCGCTCTTCTCGGTTTACTCTATGCCATTCTCGTTCTGTCCGCATACCAAGCGCATCGCGTCATCCGCGACATTGCTCCCCTCATCCGCGTACTCCTCCCTTTGGCCTTGTATTCCGTGATCATGTTTGCGTGCACACTAGTCATGATGTTCTCTCTCTCAAAACGAGAGGGTAACGGAAACCGTCGCTTTGCGTACGATGTGGCAGTTGTTCAAGCGTTCACCGTTTCTAGCAATAACTTTGTCAGTTTTGCCCTTCCGTTCATTCACAATCGCTCATTTTCTTGAAACGATAACTTTCAGGGCTCTGCCATCGGTATCGCCATTGCAATGTATGGTATTAATTCAGAGGAAGCTCTCCCTGCCATGATCGCGCCTCTCGCTGATATTCCCGTGCTCCTTGCGTTGACGTGGCTAGCCCCATACGTTAAGAAAAAGGTCCAATGGGGGACACTCGAATCCGTATCTGATCGTAGGAAGAGTAGATTCGAGTTGAGGGTCAGATTGGATTTCCATCAGTATACCGACGAACAGCATGATACGACGGTGAAGAAGGACTCGGAAAGCCTCTTTTCGACCGCCAAGTCATTGACTAGACTTTCCCTACCAGGATGTACTGTTTAAAACGTCTTTGGGTTTTAGATTCACTGGTATGTCACCTACTCTGAACGGGGTGTTAGGTGAACCCACTGAGTATGTACCAATAGTTATGTCAGGATCTTATAATTGACACAAAGAACTGTTCTTGAGCAACATGATAAGAGCGTAGCTTGAGTGAATCACCTGATAAAGAACACCGATGTGCACGTGAGTTTTACTCCCTCTCCCCACACCCACACCCATCGTTCCCCTCGTCGACTCGTTCCCGCGAAGGGAGAACAAGACTCTCCACTTCGAATCTATCTGGCAGCCCGGATCGAGACCATCATGCCCCGACCCGTCCAATCGAAGCCTGCACAACGCTTA